TCCTTCTGCTGGTCTCTTTGCTCACAGGTAGGATCCTTGTCTCCTCTGATTGCCCCACCATCTCCCTTGTCTTAAATGTACAGACCCCTGTAGCTCACCTCTGAAGTTCTGGTTTGGGATTTCCCATTGGGGTCTAATGGCACTGGTTTAGCATTCCCTGCTCACACCATGTCCACAACAGCTGACACCTGTACCTCTAGGTCTCAACTCAGATGACCCCTTAGAAGAGTCCATTACATTCACCTGCAGAAGGAAAGAAAGCCCCTCCTCCTCTTCCACATTGCAGTGACACCCATTTCCCTGGCTGTAAGCTGCCATGGCACTGTGATTTTGTTCATCCTATTAAAAACTATTTACACTTATTTTATGTGTATGAACATTTTCCCTGCATGTCTGTCTGTGAACTGTGTGAGCAGAACCTACAGAGGACAGAAGAGGGTCTGATCCCAAGAACTGGGGTCACAAATAGTTCCGAGCTGCCATGTGGGTGCTGGAACCAAGCCCAGATCCACCACAAGATCAGCAAGAGCCAATAATAATGGGCCCGTTATTATGATTTTATATGACCTCATTATGTGGCTCTGGATGTTCTCCAACTCAACTTATAGCACAGACTTGAAACCTTCCTGCCTCAACCTCCCAAATGCTCAGATTACATGCATGCCTTGTTTGTGTCTTCATTTTTCCCCCCAGATTTACAAGAAAGTGTTTTTCCTCAAAGGATGGTGTCTTAGAACTCACTGTGTAGGCCAGGCTGAGTAGGGGTGGGGCAGGTTTCACCCTCAAGAGATGGTTGGACTGTTGGTTAATTGAACTAAGAGGTCAGTACATCCTGGATGCTGACTGGAGAGTGTTCTCAGCTCCTCAATACAGGGACCACAGGGCAGCTATCCTGACAGTGAGAAATGAGAAGGGAAGCAAGACAAAAGCAACTGTTATAGAACTTAATCTCAGAGAGTCAGTCATCGTTACTACAGTAGTGTTCATGGGTGTTCACTGAGGCCAGAGGGTTGCTACAGACTCAGACGCTAGCTTGTGTTACAGGACAACTTGCTGTCTCTAATTGGTAGATACCAACCTGCTCAGGCCTGGTGTCTCGCGTTTGGTCTCCAAGTCCTACACAATAGAGGGAGACGAGCAACTCCTCTGACCTCCTTACACTTCTATTCACTGCTCTCCAGATGCAGCTGGTGGCAGGAGTCAAGGAGGAACCATCAGTCAGGCATCAGACCTCTGGTAAAGCCAATGGGACTGACGGTATGTGCTGTGCATTCTTACAGCCGGTGCTACTGCACACAGGATCAGGCGTCGGTCTCTGTGGCAGTTACGTAATATGATTCAGTGCACCATCCCTGGGAGTCATCCCTTGAAGGATTACAACTATGGCTGCTACTGTGGCTTTGGAGGCTCAAACGCTGCAGTGGATGAGTTAGACATGTGAGTGATCCATCTGGTGGGAAGACTTCAGGTTCTCTGATGAGTGGGGACAGGGAGACTGCAGGGTCTGTGTTGGAGTGGGGACTGAGCACAAGTAAGGCATTTGGTGAAGCAAGATCAGGAGACAGCCATGTTCAACAAACATCATATATTTGTTTATCAATTATTCATTGTTATTTGCTTGTTTCCAGACAGGGGATTTCTGTTAGCCTAGGTTTCATGAATCTGTATCTGGATACCATGCTGGTCTTGAACTCATAGATCTTCCAGCCTTTGCCTCCTGAGTGCTGGCATTAAAGGTCTACACCACCATACCCAGCATGTATTTTCCCCTCTTCTCACGTAAAAAAATCCATGCAAGAGGATCCTGCATCTAGTGGTCCTGGAAGGCAGAATGTGTGAGACACAAATAGTGGACAGTGCTGTCCTCAGTTGCCAGACTAGGACACAGCCAACCACCACAGCCACCATCAAAGTGTCGAACTTGGCTTTGAAAAGTCATCAAAACTTCTGAATACATACTTTCACTATTCCTGCAACTTTATTAATAATCACTTTTTTTGAGGCAGGGCCTCCCTTCTGTATCCCTGGCTGGTCTCAAACTCAGAGATGCATCTTCCTCTGCTTCCCAAGTCCTGCAATTAAAGGCTATCACTCCACAGAAGATGATTTCAATAAATATATTATTAATACTAATCTAAGATTTTCGAGTCTGAAGACAATTACTTGTGGAATATTGTGTTAAGTCATCCTCACATGTTTGAGAAAGACTGCCGATGAGAACTGACTTCCTGTGGGTCCATGCTCCTCCCTCAGCTGTCTCTCTCTCTCTCTCTCTCTCTCTCTCTCTCTCTCTCTCTCTGTAGGTGCTGCCAGACTCGCGACCACTGCTATGATCAGGCGAACGAGCTGGAAAGCTGCACATTCCTAGACAGCCCCTACACCACTACCTACTCATACTTGTGCTCTGAGAATGAGGTCACCTGCAGCGGTAGGTTTACACTCTGGGGACTCTGGAATCCACCTGGTCCTGAATGGGTTTGGAAGAGATAGGGAAGTAATAAGGACAGTCACCATGTAGTGGCCATTTCCCTGATCTCATTTGACATCACAACCACCTTATCAGGTAGACAGTAAAATATACATGAGGTCACTGATGAGGAAGATGAGGAAGGCTGGGACACTTGCCCCAGGTCACCCAGCTTAGAAGTGATGGTATTTGGTTCCTGAACAAAGATCTACATCATTCCAAAGGCTCTTTTTAAAAATATTTAAAGAGTTTATGTATTTCTGGGGGAGGCATGCCTGTGCCACAACTAGGTTTGGAGGTTGAGGACAAAGTGCAAGAGTCTATTCTCTCCTTCAACCATGTGAGTCTTGGGGATGAAATTAGGGTTCAGACTTGGCAGCAAGTGCCTTTATTTCCTGAGCCATCATGCCTGACCAAAGTCTCACCAAGTGGCTGCTATGTTATACTGATTTCATATTTACTAAATGGTTGCAAGCTGCATCATTAGTTATAAGCAAAACACTCGACCAAACACCTATGCAGAGAAAGATTTATCATTCCCATTTTACAGGTAAGGATTCGCTGAGCTGGAAAAGTGGCTCAGTTGCTAGAAGGCTTGCTTGGTATGCACAGAGCCCTGGATCCTACCTTCAGAACACACACATTGATTGTTGTGGTGCACACCTCAATGCTAGCACTGGGGAGGTGGAGGCAGGGGAATAGTCCTAAAGCATATGATTTTAGATGTGGTAGTTGATATTGGTAGTTGACATTTGTAGTCTTCCTGGTGTTAGGATCAAATACACATGCCCACTTATTTTTATGTTTAGGAATGAGTTGGCATTTTCTGTCTTCTTCACTCTCTACCATGTCTTTAGAGGCCAGGTCTCTCTATAACCAGGACACTCACCTTAACCTAACGTGACTGACCAACAAGTTGTGGGGATCTGTTCTCCCTACTTCCCAAAAGAGTTGCAGATGCTCAAACCTCACCTTGCTTTTTACATGGGCCCTGGGCATCCTAGCTCAGGTCCTCATGCTTGTATGAAAACCACTTCACCAACTGTGCCATCTCCCCAACAGCACAATAATGAATTTTGTATTATAAGTGTGTTCTAGCAATTTGGGGAACCCAATGTCCTTTAGTGTGGTCTGTTTCTCAACCTTAAGTCTGCACCATTGGGAGGGTAACCAGTGTCTTTTGGTTATAAATTATATAGAGTAAGGTGATGGGCTCCACTCAACTTCCTTTCTTGTTTCTCTGTAGATGAAAATAATGCTTGTGAGGCCTTCATTTGCAACTGTGACCAACAGGCAGCCACCTGCTTCTCCAAGGCTCCATACAACAAGGATAACAAAAGCATTCACTGTTAGACTTGTCACCTCAGTTACTGCGTACTCCATCCCTGCCTGTCTGGTTGTGTTCACTACACACTGTGTCCTCTAATAAAGCATCTATTGAAAGAACTTGGCTTTGGTGACTGTATTCTCTGTGTACAGAACATAACTAGATCCTCAGAGAACATCATTCATTTAGCCCTGGAAGCTGAAGATTAATGAGAAAGACATTGCCGTTAGGGGAGCACTTGAAAAGTGAGTGATAAGCCCAGCCAAGCCTTTAATCTCACCACTCGGGGATGCAGAGACAGAAGAAAGCACATCTCTTGAGTACAAGGCAAACGTGGTCTAAAAAATGAGTTTCAGGAGAGCCAGGACTATTACACAAAGAAACCTTGTTTCAAAAACCAAGTACAACAAAAGAGCTCAGCATGAGATACATAGGGTGGTAACGGCAGGCAGAAAGGGGGAGGGGAGAAATGAGGCAGAGATAGAGACAGAAAAGATCGGGTTGGATAGGGAGGGAAGGAAAGAGAAGACAGAGAGTTAGGAGGAGAGAGAAGAGAGAAGGATGTCATGTCACATGGGCACCAAAGGAACATCTTGAGACTAGAAATACTACACTCAAAGTGCTTCTGCTGTGCACTCATTATAGGAACTGGGATACAGGAAACCAAATTACCTAACAGAGGCTTATATTAAGTATAAATTCTTGGCTGATGGCTGAGGCTTATTACTAATTATCTCTTACATTTAACTTAACCTATTTCTATTAATCCATGTATTGCCACATGGCCATGGCTTTAGCAGTGTTTTGGCATATTGCTTCTTGGGCAGCTGGCTCCTGTCTACCTTGACTCTGCCCCTCTTCATCTGAGTCCTCAGTTTGACTGCTCTGCCTAACTTTATCCTGCCTTGCCATAACCCAAAAGAACTTTATTATTAACCAATGAGAGCAACACATCCCAGCATACAGGAGGATCATCCCAGAGAACAATACTGTACAAGATCCAGATTCCCTGTGTATTTCCCACCTTTTTGTAGATTTTTTCTTTTTTATTACTTTTAGTGTCTCTTTAAAGACTTTGCTTTTTTTTTTTTAGCTAGTCATTTGTAGCGAGAGACTGTAACCACACCTCCTAAGGGCTGGGTACAGGTGTGCCAGAGCACACCTTAGGAGGCGTGGTTACAGTGTCTCCCCACAGTCATTTCCTTCTATAACTGTCTATATCTATTATCTTTTCTTTCCTTGCCCAGGGGCCATGCTAATCTTCTCTGTATTTTTCCAATTTTAGTATATGTGTTGCCGAAAAGAGCACTATCTTTTCTTTCTTAAACCTACACACAATGTAAAATACACTGGAACCTATTCACAGGTTTTCACATCTGGATCTCTTTTTTGTTTTAAAGATTTTATTTATTTATTATGTATACAACATTCTGCTTCCATGTATACCTGCACACCAGAAGAGGGAACCAGATCTCATAACGAATGGTTTTGAGCCACCATATGCTTGATGGGAATTGAACTCAGGACCTCTGGAAGAGCAGTCAGTGCTCTTATCCTCTGAGCCATCTCTCCAGCCCATATCTGGATCTCTTTTACTGCACATCTTTTAGCATTTTTGTTGTCATGAACAAAAAACTGCTAAGCATTAAGGCTAGGACCTCTACACAACTTTGGTGGCTGCCTCAACCCACTTCTTGGATGGGGAAAGCCAAGCCTAAAACTAATGGGCTGGGCAGAGGTCTGTGACCAACAACTGCATTAAACATTCCTATGTGGTGATGTATTATTTATGATTTATTAATGCTTGCCTGAGGATTCAGAAAGCAAAGCCAGCCTCAAGCCATACAGATCAGGCAGTGGTGAAACACTCCTTTACTCCCAGCAGCCATAGAATGGGTGGTGTTGACACATTCCTTTAAATCCAGGATTTGAGAGTTATGAAAGGTAGAGGCATTCAGCTTATGAGTTAGCCTCTAGCCATGTTTAGGATATCATAGCAGTCTGAGTGAATGAGGAGCAGTGATGCTGGAAGCAGTCTGGGGATTTCCCCTTTGGTCTGAGGTGAGGTAGAGGTAAGAACTACTGGCTGGCTGCTTTGATTATCTGATCTTCAGCTTGAAGTTTGAACCTCAATATCACTCTCTGGGTCTTTTATTCATTGTGATGTGTTTCTAGAGCTCTGGAATGCCAGTTTACTCTGTGGACAGAGTTTTTTTTATCTTGCATTGTCTATTTAGTGCTGTCAGCTGAAAAGCAGTCCCTCTTTTTTTTCAAGACAGGGTTTCTCTGTGTAGCATTGGAGCCTATCCTGGCACTTTCTCTGGAGAACAGGCTGGCCTGCCTCTGTCTCCCGAGTTCTGGGATTAAAGGTGTGTGCCACCAATGCCTGGCTGTAAAGCAGCTCCTCTTAAAGGAACACTATCCTTTCCTGTTTTCTTTTCTTAAGTGTTCTCAGGCCCTATGCAAATTCAACAGCTCCATGTTGGGTGACAAAATGTACTTGCTTTTTTTAAATTTTTTACTCTTTGTTCTTTGTTCTTTTGGGGGCCCACCAATGAGCTCCAAAATAAATCACACACAGAGGCTTAATTATTCCTTATAAATGCCAGGCTGTAGCTTGCCTTATTTCTAGTCAGCCTTTCTTAATTTATCCTGTCTACCTTTTGCCTCTGGGCTTTTACCTTTCTCTTACTTCCGTATGTCTTAATTCAACTCTTACTCTGTGGCTGGCTGCATGGCTGGCCCTTAGCATCCTTTTCTCCTTGCTCTTGTTCCTCCTTCCTTTATCCTCTAAGGAGATCATACTTCCTCAAACAAGGCCACACACACCTCCTAAAAGTGCCACTCCCTATGAATTTCTGGGGCCAAATACATTCAAACTACCACAATATATCATGTATAATTTACTTTCTTAAACAAAGAATGAAAATCACCTTTGGCTGCCTTGTGTACAATGCACAGTCTGTACTTGTATTAATGCAGATAATGTTACCTTCAAAAGTTTGTGTGTTTCAGAGCAAGGAGACCAGACACCTCTAAAATGGATGGCCCAGGTGATCCAGCATTCAAAGAAGCTTCAAACCTGCAGGGTGAGATGATCCAGCCTCACAGAATACACCAGCCAAGACATAACAGTTACCCCGATTTTCTCAAGGTTCACCCAAAGATACCAGCACCCACAGGCATCAGGGAGTTGTCTAGAGAACAACACATACATGTTTCCAAGAGATGGGGTATGGGTGGGCTTGGGTTATACAATGTAAAGGTTTGTAATTGTTTAGGGGATTGGTTACAAGTTGTTATTGGTCATAGCCAGTTAAAAAACCAAATTCAAAGATCTCGTTTTAAAGGACAACAGGGGATATTATTTAGAAATGATGAACCAAAGGGATAGATGATTGAATCTGCTTTTCTCCAAATAAACAACTATTAATCTAAAAATATTTTACATTGGTATGGACTTTGATATACTGATACAAATTTAAAGTTGACTTTTGTTATTCTGTATGTATATTTGTACTCTTTTTTGGGCATTGTGTTTATACAATTCACTTTAAAATGTAATGTCTAATTAAGAAATATATATTAATAGTCAACTGTAGTAATCAAACTTGTAGTTATATTAGGTATGTTTTCAAGGTTCAACAGATATGTTTAGATGTTGCAAACATGCTCTTTAAACACTCCAAAGATGTACAGAATATGGCATTTAATATGTTTAATGACCTATCGCTCTTTATGACAATGAGACACATCTCCTCCTGACAGCACCAATTTGCTTCAAAAGAGGATGATGAGCATGGAAGAAACTCCACATGGACTTTGCCTTCTGTATAGCAAAAGCTATCCATGTGGACAAAGAAACTGTCCTTGCCTCAATTGCTCACAGTAAACTGTCTAAACTGGACAAGTCCAACCCAAATGAAAGCAATTGCCAAACTTTGCCAAGACAAGGAAGGACAGTTCTTCAAAATTTGCTGCTTCTTAGAAAAATTTGATGGATATAACAGACTAGTAGGTTAAAGATGGATATCACAGTGTCACACAAATAGATTGGGTGAATGTCCAGGCAGCCAAAGGTCCCTGTTGTTACTTAGCATTTTACCCTTCTGGGGTCTTTGATGGAGTTAAAGACTAAATAAGCAGACAAAAAGTTTTCCTCCCGGGCGTTGGTGACACACACCTTTAATCCCAGGCAGAGGCAGGTGGATCTTTGTGAGTTCAAAGCAAGCCTGGTGGCCAGAGCCACTGCCAGGATAGGCTCCAAAGCTACACAGAGAAACCCTGTCTCGAAAAACCAAAGAAAAAATATTTCCTTATTTCTGACAAACAGGTAAATTAGGTATAAACTTTAGATTCACAAAGATAAGATGAATAGTATTTTCTCTAAATTTTCCAAATAAAAATGAACTGGATATCTTACCTGGAATTCTTACTTGATAACTGTTTTGTTGTATATAATTTTACTATTACAAAGTTAAACCTTCCTTTTTCAATTAAAGAAAAGGGGGAAGTGCTGTGGAAAATCTTTGTACACTGTAAATATGTATTGCTTTCATGGCTAATAAAAGTCTGGTGGTCAATAGCTAGGCAGGATTTTCAGGGAGGAGAGACTCCTGGGAAGACGGAGTGGGAGGGGTCTGAAGAGATACACAAAGAAGCAAGATGAATGTGCCATGTTGAAAGAAGGCACTAGGATCAACATAGTAAAAATGACAATGCTACCAAAAGTAATCTACAGATTCAATGCAATTCCCATCAAAATCCCAGCACAATTCTTCCCAGACCTTGAAAGAGCAGTAGTCAATTTCATATGGAAAAAAAAAACCCAGAATATCCTAAACTCTCCTATACAATAAAGGATCATCTGAGGGCATCACCATCCCAGACTTTAAGCTCTACTATACAGCTATAGTAATGAAAACAGCTTGGTATTTGAATAAAAACAGACTGGTGGGCCAGTGGAATCGAATTGAAGACACAATACCAACCCATACACCTATGAACACCTAATATTTGACAAAGAAGCTAAAAAATATAAAACAGAAAAAAGAAAATATATTCATCAAATTGTGCTGGTATAACAGCCTGTTGACATGTAGAAGAATACAAATAGATCCATATCTATCATCATGCATAAAGCTCAAGTTCAAGTGGATCAAAGACCTCAATATGAATCCACCTATACTGTATCTCAAAAAAGAGAAAGTAGGAAATACATTTGAACACATAGGCACAGGAGACCACTTCTTAAATAAAACACCAGTAGCATAGACTCTAAGAACAACAATTAATAAATGGGACCTCCTGAAACTGAGAAGCTTCTGTAAAGCAAAGAACATGTCCACAAGACAAAATGGCTCCCTACAGAATGGGAAAAGATCTTCACCAACCCCACATCTGACAGAGGGCTGATCTCCAAATTACACAAAGAACTCAAGAAACTAGAAATCAAACTACCAATTAAAATGGGGTACAGATCTTTTTTTAGTTTTTTATTTTTTATATATTTGAATTACAAACAAGATTGAATTACATGACAATCCCAGTACCCTTCTCCCTCCCTTCCTCCCCTACCACCCCACAAGTAAAATCCTACCTACCATATATCCTTCCAACCACAACTTGCTTTTAAAAAATACAGTTAATCTTATTTTATGTACACTAGCTTGAGTGTTTCAGATCCCCTGGAACTGGAGTTACAGACAGTTGTGAGCTGCCATGTGGGTGCTGGGAATTGAACCCAGGTTCTCTGGAAGAGCAGCCAATGCTCCTAACCATTGTGCCATCCCTGCAACCCCACACCTTGTGTTTTACATGAACTCTGGGTAATAGATGTCAGGACCTCATACTTCATATATATAAATTTTACTTAAATTAGAGAAAGTCGTATTTTACATATCTATTCCAGTTCCCTCTCCCTCCCATCCTCCCATATGCCTATCCACTCCCCAGGGAGGGTGAGGCCTTCCATGAGGGATCACCAAAATCTGTCAAGTCATTTTGTGCAGGGCCTAGGCCCTCCCTTGTGTATCTAGGCTAAGAGAGTATCCCTCCATGGGAAATAGGCTACCAAAGACTGTTCCTAAACTAGGAATACATCCTGGTTCCACTGACAGAGGCCCCTAGGACTGCCCAGTGCTCCTAACTGACACCCACATTTAGGGGGCCTAGTTTTGTCCTATGTTTGTTCACCAGCAGTCAAACTTGGGTCCATGAGTTCCCACTTGCTCAGGTCAACTGTTTCTGTGGGTTTTCCCAGCATGGTCTTGACCCCTTTGCTCACCACTCCTCCCTGTCTGAAACTGA